AGTTTTCCCATTGTGATGCGTCCAAGGGATTTTCCGCCGACGCATTGTGCAGTTCGTGTACGGGTGTAAATTATGAAAATTTGCAACTATCCCGCAAATAATATAATGTATATAAGAAAAAATACATATATAATATAATATAAGCACGAGACTTTGAGAGGATATTGTAGGAGTACATTATGAATGCAATATAATATATATATATATATATACACACACACACGTCCATTCTATGTGCCCGGAATCGAACCATCGTGCTTCGAGCTATATTACTATACGTCTATACGCACGTCGATAACGGGTATAAATGTATAATATGATTTAAATTATACAATATAAAGGTTGTAAACTGGGTTTTATATGCTATAAATTCGAACTGAAAATGATGAGAGTACACTTGACTTAAATACCACCGTTATTAGTATATAGTCTTATATAATATTATATTTTATATACTATTATATTAGGTATTATATTGCGCATGTATTAAAAATATTATTTATAATCATCGTTTTTTTTTTAAAACAACTTTCTAGTTCCCATAAAAAAATCTCATCGAAAATTCCTAAGAACGCCTTTAAATATATGCGAATAGTAACTACTATTATATTGACTGCATTGAAAACCAAATTTTATCTATTTCAAATTTCCCTCGACGAGTATTAATAATAATAATAATAATAATAATATATAGGTAGTTTGAAAAGCCGTAGGATATTATATGTATATGTTATAGACATTATACATACAGTCTCAATCAGTGAGCTTTGACGGTTCATCTCATACAATTATAGATATGCATCATGCAAGCCGTTTGATCTCTGCAGTTAGAAACAAAACTCATTCACATGTAGTTTTCCGAGCTAGCGAAAATCCCAAGACTGGGGACACACACACATCGCTCTATTACAGTTGTGAATCGTAAACATGTGTAAATATGTAGGGGGTATAAATAAACTGCTCCAGAATTTCGTACTTTTATACCAATCGACAATAATAATCGATATCGACTGGAGTAACCTCTCTTAACTGAAGAGAAAGGTAACTGACTCCGCCTTGGCTAAACCCATCTTACACACGTCACACGGCTACATCTTGGCAAAGGAAGAAAAATCATAATTATTGTGAAACTGAACTCTTAGTGAACGACATAATTACAAAATGATGCTTCCAGATCCAACACGTATAAAYGAACTCAGCAGCCTTAACATATCCAACACCTGAGATGCAGAACTTGGTCCTGAAGCGAACACCAAAATTTAAAATTCTTAAACAAAACCAAATTTTGTAATTTAATTTAACGAAAAAAAAATACATATAACTATAATTCGGTATATGGTTATGGTATGGTATGGTATGAAATGGTAATTTGTTACCGTTGAACGTTGGTAATTAAGAACAACAAAAAGAATAATTATTATCAATATATCTGAGTTTTTCGAAATTTCTGCACAAACAATATAATATACCTACAACGGCTACAACTGCTACAACCTTCTCGTTCCAATGACATCCTGACATCGTTCGCCGAAGTATTAAACTGCATCATGCAGTCCGGTCGCCGGTCGGCTAATTATAATATCATTTTCGTACAACAACCGTAATTGGATAACACGACGTATAATATGCATATGCATTATGCATACGTGTAGGTACCTATATATATATTATGTGTAACGACTACCGATAATACCTACGATCTATACGTATATAATAATAATAATTAATAACCGCGTAGGTATATACAAACGAGGACGTGTCATTAGTGCGCATAGTGCAGCGCAAAGGGGTCAACGGAATTATGTACCTCTAACAAAGTCGTGATAAATAAAACGTAGATCAAGAACCTACATGACCAACGTGACAATGTAGTGATAACATATTAATATGGATCTCAGAATCTGTGATACGTGCGTCCATATAATATGTATATAATTATTTTACAGGTACCTACTCSAACAATATTTTTGTGCAAAGGTCGGAATTTGTAATGGAAAGAAAAGAGTTTAAGACGAGCTGTCGTCGTGCCTTGATATTTCCCATTAGCTTTTGTATTTTCAACCCCTCCTATACTATMATTTTTCTCATGAAATACTATACCCCTTTATTATAGTCACCTATGTATTGTAATTAATTAATAGACGTATATTTTATTTTATTAAATTTACGGATATGTAGCTATTTAAAACAATATATTATGATTTATGTGGTATTATGATAAAAAAAATTAAAATAATGTTCAAACGAAGTAAAACAAATCTGTCAATAGTTTTTGTTGAACCACTATCATAATTATGAATTATGAACGATGTTTTCAATTTACAATTATATCATATAAACATCGCGTAAAGAATATATAATGTATATATATTATATTAAATATATAATATTATACAAAATAATGCTACACATAATTAAAAAAAATTACTATACTCTAAACATATTTAGAAGATTTATCTTAAAAAGAAAAGTGTAAAGTCCAAAGTTATAGAACTATAACACAGTTGTGGCGAATATAAATATTCGAAATCCTAAGTAATATATCAAAAACAAACATTTGAACTTCTTCGTTTATAATTTGTTTTTATAGCAGTCTACATGTTGCTTTCGTATTGTTTATTTGTAAGAAATAATGTTTTATCTGAATCCATAGACCATTTATCAGATAAGACTTATATTATTATAATTTGAAACACTGCAACAGCAATAAACAAAACGRCCCCCATTTGGTCATTTTATCATTTCGCATTTAAAATCTGAAGAAAAAACGGATTTGGCACGGTTTTAATTGAAAATCAAATCAATGATCTTAATACATGCCGATTAAATAAGACATAGCTACAACACCTATACATAATAATATATATTATATACAATAAATAGTCATGTGTTGTGCATTATAGCACGAGTATTACACTTTATTCACGATTCAACATTGCTCGCCGCTCGACGTCGATTCAATCAATACCGACTAATGTGTGCAATTAATTAAATAAATTGTATATTTTAATAATCGATGCGGTGATGTAATATATTGTTTCTCGTCTTATTATTTTTAAGCAATCAAATTAAAAACGACAAGAAAATGTGATTAGTCGTTTGAGTTTTGTACGATCAATATTTAATACTATACATATATAATATAATATACAACTATTATTTTTGTTATTATTATGTGGTAAAGTATTGAAACAGACGAAAAATAATATGAAATGTTTACAGCTCCATCATTGTCGACCTTGGCTTAGGCTAAAGATATCCATTTCCAGGGTGACATTAACCATATCGTATCGCCGAGTATTTTCGATACTTCTCGTATAGTATGTACAATTTTTCTCTCCTCTGCCGTTAAATATATACATATACATATTCCCTCCCTCCCCACCAACCCACCCTTTCTACCATTCACCCCCGCCGTCAAATCACAATACTATATAGCTCGCTGTCACACTTGACTCATCGCCTACCTGCCATCCTCTCKACATAATATGTTATACCTATATATATAGTCCGTGTGTTATACAAGGTCGATGGTTAATGATGTTAGATTATCATTTACACGCACTACCGTGTTACACACTCACACACACAGCCCAGACTGGTCTCTGATATGGTTTTCGAAGAATGATGTTTTCAACGAAAACATGGGAGCTAAGCCGACAAAAACAAWACACAATATACGCGATACGAAATTAATATTATAATGTAACAAAACAAAAAAAAAATCAGGCGTCGTTGTCCGATACTGTGCGACGGCGGCGCGTGTCAAAATAATAATAATATTTTACGCTATTATATATATGTACCATGTACACTATACATTTACCTACACGTCCACGTTTCTATATAAATATATATATTTCCATATTGATGTATAATCGAAGAGAAGACGCCAACGGTTTATCATCATCACCATCGTAGACAGGTAGACATAATATACGACGCGCGACGTTAACCAAGCATCAGCAGAAGTCAAAACGATGATGATAATATTACAACTAAAATATATCAAAGTATCGTCGCTTTAAATGGTCCGAAACGAAAACTGAAAACTTTAACGGTGGTACRCGACATTCGTCAAATGAGCGCTCGTCCTAGAGCAACGGAAAAACCCGTTACCGGCGTAACGAGCCGAAAGTTATGTCCTGTAAAGAAAATGTTCGAAATGTTTTTGCACACAAACTGATTTATAAAAAGATGACTAAGACATGGTAATTAATATACCTATTACTAAACTATAAGTATACATCGATGGACACACTGTACCACGCATCCGCAATACCCTCACCCACTACCTATATAGATATTTCTATCAAAAATGTCCATGTACTTACCCAACCACTACGTACACCTCTATCTACATTCTACATATTATTGTAAATTTTGTATGTGTTTACAATGCCCGAATGCTTTTCTTTTTTGCATAATATTATTTTGGTAGTTTAAGTTCACGATCGAATGTCAAGATAAACGTTTACACATTACAAAAATATGCGATTTTTGAATAACGATAACTACTATGGTCTTAAAACTAAAAATATGATAGTCGGCATTAATTACTAAAAATATTAAGGTAATACAGAAAAAATAAATAATACTGGCGTGCTGGACAATCAAATCGTCAAATGGCGTACAGTACCTGCATGTGTATTCTAAATTAGGAATATATAATAATTATTAAAAGCGGTGTAAAGGACCAACATGATTTTATATGGTTAATCTTTTGGTATCTATAAAGCCCCACCACAGGATTTGGTCGAGTTATGAATATATCTTGCGAATAATATTCGTATAACATATATAGAGGTATATGAAACAGGACGGACGTGTATACTACCTATATATTCGCGACCGGTGATCGACCAATAGAAACGGTGGACGGCGATAGTCCTCCCCCCCCTCAACAAACGTTGTCCGGTGCCGCGTCGATGTGGTCCTCGAGTAGCGCGTGGACACCACGACATCGTCAATCGTCAGTCTTACAGGACACGTCGCCGACGCTAAGACACTAAGACAGTCAAACGCCGTCACACCCGCCGGACACCTCCRAACCAACGACATCTCAACGGACTTCGATTGTTTTCATTATAACGACAACGATATCAGCTGCAATACACACTTACGATCATGGAAATGAATTTTGGAACACTGTTGGACTTGGACCGCGGTCAACACGACGGTAAGCATATCGAAATTTATTATTATTATTATATCAATATCGTAGAGCTTTATAAACAATTTTGGATTTTTTTTTTTTTTTTGCAAAAAATTAAAGCACCTTCCCGAGTATAACTGGGTGGCGTATTTGAATAGCTAATGTAGTCGATCTTGATCTACATGCATGATGATTTAACAATAAATAGTTAATTAATAAATTGTATTATTATAATATATAATCAGTGTCGGATTTAGCATCATGAAAAATAGGCAGCCGCAAAACTGTTGAGGGTGGACATTTTTTATTAAAATTATTTTTTTTATTATTGTATGTGTTGGCATGTTTTTTTTTAAACGTTTTCGCCAATACGCCAATAATATTTGTTTATTATAGTACCTATAGTATTGATAATTTTTTTTCGTAATTATAGAACGGTTTATATAGTATAAACTTTAACAATAATAGTTATTATTCAGTGTTTTTTTTTCATACGTATGTTATGTAGTTAAAAAATATAGACCTAAAAATAAATACTCGTGGATATAAAAACAATTACTTATGGTCAAAGGTGTAAATCAGTYTCTGTTTATATTATTATTGTTGTTCCATAATGCTAATACMTACTTTGTCACTGTTTTTTTATGATATATACGTGCGTAGAAAATCTGTCCGTGAACATATTCAATTTTCTGACCAAAAACGTATTTCAGAACTTTCTTTACACGGTGCTATTTCTTGCCATTCTATCYATGATATTAGTAAATTTTTGATTGTCAACAATTCATTTGATACGCGTTACATGAATCTAACTGGCAAAATAAATTCACCAGAGAAATTATACAATTACAAATTACTTATCAACGAAATTTCAAAAAGTTATAGTAATATACGAAAATACGAAAAACGTGGAGGGTAGTAAAAACCAATTTTTAATGATAAAAAAATAAGTTCGATTTAAATTAAGGATAAATATTTAACGATTATATTAAAATATTTATAAATTATTTTAAACTCAAAAACTACGACYCTTTAACAAAGTACCACCTAGCCCCCTAGCCCCCTTAAATTCGCGTCTCTCTGTAGGATGAGGTCCCAACTGATGTGAAGCGGACTAGCTTCCAAGGTAGATGTAGGTTAGGTATGTATAGACTCGTTAGCGTACCACCTCTCCTAATCGACGATATCGTCTGTCCCCCTACTTCCCTGGGCATCCGTGATTGGCATCGCACATTAAAATATTATAATAAGTTATAGAAGTAATAATAATAATAATAATAATAACAATAATAATAATAACACAATCATTATCGCCGTCGTACCCAAACGATCTTAATAATTCGCGTACGATTGCATTATTTTCTATCGGCAATAATGACGATGATAAAGAGTAATGATGATAATAATAATATAACGCTCGCACGTGAATTTTTGAGATAAATATCGAGCTAAATTTAAATGGGATTTCGTGTGCTTATCCAGACTTGGAGCCCACCTCCATCGCCACCGCGTCGTCGGTCACCGTGATCGTGTCGAGCAGCAACAACAACAGCAGCAACAGCAGCAGTAGCGGCAGCTGTCGCAGTACTCCGTCAAGCTTTCCGCCGGTCACCGACTACCACCATCAGCACCGCCGCTTGCAGCACGTTCAGCCCGTCGTCGGCCACCTACACGACCACGACGACCGCCTTGACGGCGTGGACATGCACGCGACCCAATTATCCTCGTCGGCCGTCAACGGATACGACACCATGATGATCGCTGGTTACAACAACTATTGCAGCAGCAGCGCCTCCGTGTACGACCCGTACAACAACGGTTACACGCAGACGTTCGCCTCGCTGCCGCCGTACGACGGTAAGTGTTGTTGTGTAACTTGACCTCACCTAAGTATACATTTTTCCGCTACGGCGAACGACAAACCCGACTCCCAACTCGCGTCACGTAAACCTTAAACGTGGTCGTAGGTACCTCCTACCTTTAGGCCCGTGGTTATCGTCCACCATCATCGCGACATCATTAAAATACATATACATCGTGCGCGCGCGCATGGCTTTTTCGGGAGTTAGGTTTTTTCATATTTTAAATACCACCCACGTTCGCCTGCCGTAATCTGGTAACTCGCGCGAATTACAAATTGTTCAAAGGCCGCGACGATCTGTTCGTAATGGCGTACGATTTGGTCCTTTTTGTTTTGTCGTACGTACAATACGCATACAATAAGCCATTGTCGTCGTTTACATTCAAAAACATTACAATAATAATATGACAGCCGTTATCGACTGATTCCACCTAACCTAAAACCCTAACCGAGCCTATCGCCAACATCTCAAACGCGCGGTAGTTTTATTTTAATATTTAATTTCGACATACCTATACGTGTTTCATAGAAATCGTAGTATTTCTATTATCATTTCGTTGAATATTATCGAACACTTTTAACAGTTTTTATTTATAATGATTATTATAAATAATATGATATTTTTTTTCAAACCTACAATATTAATACACGTGTTTACGTAAGATTCACGGTCAATGACCGGCATTTACCTACGCGTAAATCGAATCCTAAATACGGGACCGAAATAACATGTATATAAATACCTGCGAATGGCATTGAATCGATTTGTATATTTATATATTAAAAATAATAACGAGCGGTCCTATAATTATTGTACAATACCTACAACAATATGGTTGTCAACAAGTTGGACGGTTCGAATTCGTCCGTGTATGAGGTCCGCAGTTTTCGTTTGTATTATTATACATTTATACACATACCTAACCTACTCTATCACTTGGGGGTAGGGGGGAATACTATTGGATTCGTGTWATCTCACAATTGTTTCTGTCCGGCGCTGTTCAAATTTTGATATTGAAATATTTGCGTTTCCCGCTATACTTGTGTACAGAATTAATATTATTGTTTTAATTAATTACTCTAACCAATAATAATCCCACCACTGAAGATACCGTCGCTGAATGGTCGCTTCTAACATGTCTGCATGCCCATAACAATAAATAAACAATAAAAAATATATAAATAATAATACTGTGGTCAAAGCACGAACAATATTATACTAGATCTAATCCTTCCACCAGTTCTTCTGATTATCCGTTGAATGTTTTTGCATAATGAGGAAGCTGTAATAATACATTTTTAATATTTGAAAATTATTATGCACAATTTATGACATTTAGAGGATTAATTATTTTTATTTTTAAGTCATACGCCGTTGTCTTGTGATAAATTCGAATCAATATTTTATAATTCAGATCACCATTTACCGGAAAAATAGATAATGACAAATTATTATTGTAATATTATATCTGTTGATGATAATATCGCATGGCGTTTAGTGGTTAAAATTGTCGATTTGTCGATTTGTCTACCATTCCATAGTGATTTTAGCGGTGTAGAAGTATAAAATTATAATTCGAGTAGCCGCGCGCTTGTTAATTAGTATTGTAACAATCGACAATAATAATCGCATAATATTAATATTCATGTCTTTCGGCAGACATTCGAAACTCTGCTCCACTGTTGCCTCTTCTGCACTCACAGCAGCACATGCCACAACAACACAATCCAGTGTTACACGGCAACGATGAGATGCAGACCGCCGCCGCGGTAAACGTGCAGCGCAAAAGGGAGAAGCAAAAGCGTCAGCGGACCGCTTACTCGAGCGAGCAGCTGATGCACCTCGAAGAGTCGTTTACGGCCAACCAGTACTTGAACAGGGCCAGGCGCATTGATCTGGCTCGGACGCTGCGACTCACGGAAAGACAGATCAAGATTTGGTTTCAAAACAGGCGCATGAAAGAGAAGAAGTCCAAGAGGGATTCCGGTTAGTATTTTGTTGTATAATCGCTTTCTGTGTGTATTGGGGGGGGGGGTGGACGCGCACCCGGTAAAATCTCCTAAAGTCGTTGTATAAATCACGTGATAAGACGTTTCTTGCTCCTTACACTTTTTTAGGAGCGAATACTGAAAGCGCGTCCACTCTCCGCCCCTGGTGCAAAAAGCCACGATTGTCCGCGCGTCTCACATTTAAATAATTATGTCGAGATAAACTCGTCAATCATCACATTTTCTTGAGTCAATAATAATTATAAATAAAACTAATAATAATAATAGCTCGGGTTGGGTTGTTTTCTACACTTCCACGTGTTTAGAAATAAGTCTGGTTGCGAGCTAAATGTGCGATAGAATTCTGAGAAGATCCGCCCGCGTGACGGCTATAGACACTGGTGTCTGGTACATCTAATTATAACGACAGTATACATCTAAAATATATCGTATTGCACGTGCTGCCTTCCCGTGTAATTAAGGTATATATATAATATTATATTTTCAAATTCGTGTATGAAATAATAATACAAGAATATTGACAATGATTTATTTCCGTTTTTCGTTCGCGAAATATTTGTTTTCTAACTGTTTGTCCGATAATCTAACACTACGTTTAATGTGTCCCAGGACGTAGTGACTAGCCAGCGTGCCAGCGTCTTAAAAATAACATACTCAAGTTACGTGAAAAACCATTTAAATGAAAGGTCAACTCTAATTTAATTTCTTAGGGGAAATTAATTTTTTTCTAATAAATTTTGACCTACTTGGTGTACCTACTTATTGCATAAAGGAATAKTTGTGAGATTAATATTTTGATGAAATTCATATTTTATCTGCCAGATTTTCAAATCACCGAACCGGAACAAAGTTTTCTTTTACACATTAAGACGTGTTTTAACATAAAATGGTATGCCATCTATTATGAGAGATATACAACGAAATAACATAATAATTTGTTGTACCGATTAGATAAAATATGTAATTATTTTACTTTCAATACTAATATATAAWAATTTTAGGGGCATCTTGAAGTTTTATCATTTAAATTGTTWATGTTCCTGTTATTCGTCGTAATTTTAAAATCCTCAATAATTATTGTTTTATTTTATTGAATATTTTAAATTAAAAGTTATTTTCTCGCCATATCTCTAATAACCGGGACATTCGGAAAGCCTAATTATTCTTATTATCGTGTGTGGTGTTTAATAATACAGTGCGATTACTGCGATTCTTACTTTCTTAATATACTTTTGTCGTACCTGCTGACTGGAAAATGACTTGGTCGTCGACACGCCAATAACGTCGCTCAATCTAACTCATCGTGTCCAGACCTGCGCATTCTATACCTATAGACTATACAGTGTGATATTTTAATAATATAATAATTTCATTTTCTCGTCCCTGCAGGCCAAGTAGAATCTACTAGCGGTGGAGTGACGACCATGACGCCGGCGGCCTTGGCTGCAATCAGCGGTCCGCCGCCCGCGCCTGTGGTGCCGGTAACCGTGGCCAACTGCGGTTACGGCGCCGGTCATTACTCGGACAACGGCTGCTCGCCGCCGATCGCAAACATGGCGATGAAGTACAGTCCGTCGAGCACGTACTCGACACCGTCGCCGCCCATCATCCAGGCCCGTCGTCATCAGCTCGCCGAACATCAGCGCCCGGGACCGTCCACCACGATGCACCACTATTCGTCGTACGGGCCCAACATGTACAACGGAAACTCTTGCGCGATGCCGCCGCACCCGCCCACGTACGAGGAAACCGTCAACGGGCAGCATCAGTCTGTGCCAATGCCGCCGCAAGTACACTTGCACTGGTATCCGACCTCGGTTATAGCGTCGCACGACTCGGCCACTGACGGGTTGCAGTAACTCGAAGTCTTGATGATGACGGGTGATAGTGAAGAGTACAGGGAGGAGCGGGCCCGCCTCGTGCTTCCGATGCGATCTTAATCCGGGATCGAATCGGAAGTTCGACGGGTCTTACGAATCCGGGGGGTTTTTTTTTCTAAACTTTTTATTATTTTCATTTCTTTTGTTTTCATTTTATTATCTTAATTATCAGTATTGGCCGTCTGGACGACGAGACACGCTCGTGGTTTTTAAATATTATGTCATTACTTGGGAAATGACTATTTTATTTTTTCATCATTATTATTAGTTACTATTTTTTCTCCATTACAATTATACTTTATACATATATTATATACTACGGGATATGCCTATATACTCTTACGTGAAAATATCTAAAAAAAAATACTCGATATAATATCCTTACTCACTATTGTTATTCTAAAAAGACGACTAATGGTCTTGACTTAACCATCAACGTTCATATTATATTATATTATCATTAGTCATTACACTATTTGCACTATTATTCAATGCACACTCGCATACTCGCACGATATCACACACAACTATATAATATTGTAATCTTCGAAATAAAATAGAAAAATGAAAAAATAACTAACATTATTATATATAAATATATATATATACTCATCATAAGATACAACTTTATTATATTTATATTTTTATTATAGCCCAGACTGTTTTAGTGTACTAATATTATCAATTTTAGTACTTTACATAAAATTGTTAATCACCGAATTAATACCATCTTATTAWTAAATAGGTATATATTGTTTTATTATTATTAATAATATTAATTATATCATTATCTTGTAAAAAGAAAAGTCCAAATATTTTTTATTATTATTATTTTTATTTAATTAGTATTTCTACAACCACACACACGAGTTATGGATTTTATTAAAATTAGATTATATTGGTAGATAACGCGTGAAAAACGTTTCATTTAAGTTATTATTTCCGATGCGTTTTTTGTTTTATAAAAATTTGGCATTCACATCGAAAGTATTGTATTGTAATTTTACTTTGTTTTGTTAACAACAATCTTACTTTTATACTTTTTTACTGTGTAAAGCGTTATTACGATGTCGTGCGTATACATTATACACTCGTCAACGTTTTATAAAAGCAAAAATTATGTTAAAAAAATTATAATAATTTTATATTTATTAGGTAAATTATTCGAATGTTGTACAAATAAATTTAATACTGTAATATTAGTAAATTAGCTATATTATTATAATCATACACTTTAGTGTTGGCTATCTCTAACAATATAGTAGAAAACATATACTCGTCGTGTATCATTATTTTAATTCCTACATGTATTTAAGACTCATTATAAAATTATGTCTGTAATAATTAACTTTGTAAATGTATATATTCAAACAATATTATAAAAGCTTACACGTTTACATGAGTTGATTATTTTAATTTATTTTGTTTTTTTGTGGCTTAAGATTTGTCTATCTTTGATAATACCAACAATTCATCGTTCCAGAGAACGAATACGAGTAATAGCGGTGTATAATTATTTATATTTTATAATGGTTATAATATTATATATACATTATATGTATATATTGAATAGTGGTGAAATATTTAAACTTTTGAAAGTCATTCTATGACTTAAAATGTTAAAATAATGTTTCTACGTTGTTTCACTATATTATTACAAATATCACTGTTTTATTATGTTTAAATCGTCTGGCTAAACTACATTGTTAAATATTTTGGTTTTTAGGGTATTTTCCATTTATTACACATTTATTTTAGWCTTAAAAGGTATTTATTTTTTACAKTCATAAAGGCAAACTGCAAAATGTTATCTAAACAAAAAATTATGTTTTAGATTTAGGTTTTAAAASAACACTATTCACATAGGCGGCACTTGGTAGAAACTTATGTGGGTGCAAACGTTTATGGTAATAACATTCACAAATCCATAGGAATGTTGCCGCCCCCTACCCCCTAATATATAATAATTGCTACAACAAATGTAGTTAGAAAAAAATGTCTTTATTAATAACTATTAATTAAGTCTCTGACACTCTCTGTATTTTAAATATGTACATGAATATGTAAAAATATTATTAAAAAACAACTTTTTATTTTGACATAAACAATATGATCTTTTTTGAACCATATCGGTATTTAGTGACGAATTAGCTTCCTGCATTATTTAATAAATTATTATCATATTATTATTATTATTATTTTAACATTTAATCACGGACTAAGATTTTAGTCCGTACAATTAATTGAGTAATCAGATATAAAATATTAAAATGATCCATGATTATTTTTTATYATCAAAATTACATTATATCAGTATAATTGTTAACAATAAAATAATCAAAATATTTTTTACTGTTGTGATTGTGTGTGTGTGGGTGAAAAATGATACYTTTGCCACCCCAGAAAAATTGTGGGTGCAACTGCACCCTCATGCCCCCCCTTAGATGCCGCCTATGACTATTCGTGTTGTGTTTGGTGTAAATCGTAAATGAATGAGAGGATTATTTTGAGTACCTAATATCATAATCCTTAATGAAAAAAAAAAATGTTTAAGAATTTGTGATGATTATTGATTTTTCTTGTTAAAGTATTAACTATTTTTTGCTGTTCGATTGTTATAGTAATATATAKTGTATACAATATACATTGTAATCATTGTATACTGTATAATAATATTATGTACATATTATGTACGGTACCACCTTCTTTGAATTTTCAAATTATACGAAAATGTTTTGTTCTTTGAAAAATGATAAGACAAAGTTAATGAATGTTAAATTTTCTATTTTACTTGGCAGTGGGTGGAGACAATTTCTTTTATAACTTTTATATTAAATTTAAATACGATTGCGGTGGCATGAAAAATTGTCCTTCCGGCACAGTATTAACTACATATCATAGACATTATTGAAATTGAATATTGAGTGTATAAAATGAAAAATACATTACAGATCGTGTTTGTCGACGACTGTCTCCTTGCAGATAGGCGTTATATATTTAAAGGCGTCTTCCACGACATCAGTACGAACCAAGTTAATAAATACATGTTGATAAATACTTACCTAATGATAATTCTGCATTTTTTGGTCTTCGTTGATCCAAATAGAATATAAAATGCTCCTCTCGCCCATTTTTGCATATCCTATTATTCTAATCATCATGAATTTACCCCTGCAGTAACGTCCTTAGCTTGGTCGTAGTTTTAATTGATGAATTTCAAAATATTATAGATTTATTCAAATTAAAAYATGAATTTTTTCAATTTGTAAATGAAATTAATAAAACGCGTAAAAACATCACRAAATACTACGTGTTATTTTGGCGTCATATTATCTATACTTTATTACGGTATAAATTAATTTTAATAGTTCAATATACAGACAATTACAGTGGCACTTTGGCCGAGCTTCTATTACCGTCGTGGCTTCCGACAAAATATTATAGTTTTATACCGTGGTTGCTGCAGTACCGCATCGACCGACTAACACTGTATAAGTTCAATAGATTGGAATGGAACCTCCGGCCACCCAAATTTTAGTCCGCCATATTGAAAGAGCTCAATGAGTTTTCCAGAAAAAAATTAATCTATTCTGTGGATCATATACTGATCCATCGATCAGTCTTCAAACAACGGTCGCTGTTGAACTTATTCTCCACGATCCATCGCGTAATTTCACATTTGATTCTCAATCGAACCATTTTRCTCATCGCCGAMAACGAGTGCATCGTAATGTTTGATTATTATTTAAATTTCATTGTATGCAGTTCGACGGAAATTTCGGCAAAACAAGTCTTGAGCGAGCCGCCATCACCATCAACCGGTCCGACGAAAAGCGTCGCATGTTTTCTGAGAATATTATGTGCCTGGCGGCGGGTTAAGGTGAGCCGTACACAACACCTATAGCTGTAAATTAAAGAGGTGATATTATTTTAGCAGTAAACATTAATTACCTCTAAAAATTTCTTTTGAAAATATTTTGTTTACATAATTTGTATTTATTACAAAACAATATTTTCAGTCGATTAGTGTTTAAAAGAATGTATCAAATCAAATAATCAAGCAGCTAAGCTATGAATATTATTTACTATTTAGGATTGATTARCATATTCTCAGACATGTATATTTATTTATCTTGGGTTCATTGGCTCGAAGGGTTCTAAGTCTCCTAGCCACCTCCCCTAAAGTTGCCTGACAAATATAAGAAATAATAACTTTTTTAAGGTTAAGAATTATCTTTCATAGGCAAGGAGAAGTTCAGGAAAAAATCTAGGAAGTCATTAATTTGATTGAATCACACAAATATATATATCTTATACATTTTAAAATATTTTATACATTAACACATTACATAAATACCGAATCTTGGACTTGCGTGAATTGTTAAATAATAATTTATAGATTATAATATAGTGCATATAAATAATATTTATAACGTTAATTAAAATTAAAATAAATGAAAAGCTAAAAGTATTACTTAAGTTTTAACTAGRCCTTGTTTTTATAATCTATTTAAGTATTGATTTATTATAAATGTCCAAAATGCATAGGCACCCAAAGTCCATTGCCCCCTGACATTTTTTATTTTTTTTATTTTTTTATTTTTTTTTCAAATCCTAACATTGCCCAACCCTCTCTAGAAATATTTTTGCGAGCGTTTATTCCAAGATTCAAGTAATTTGTTAAATTATCAAATCTAAACGCCTCGCCATTTAATAGTTGGTTACCTATATTATTAACAATAATAAATTTCCCGAAATCGAATACAATATTTGAGCAATCAATATTGATATATATATCAATAATATAATATGTAACCAGACTTAATCTGGAAAAAAATGTTCAATGTTCATCGAAAATCTCAAAATCCTTGTGTGAGCATTTCTTTAAAATTCAAATGTTGTATGATTCTTTCTTAGTGCAACCCTACATAGTGTACCATTAGAAATCCATATCTATTGCTATCATAATAAAGTTTAAGTTCAATGCGATCTGCCAGTCGGTTAGAACATGTTTTATTATAGATAGATAGTATACTTTTAATTAGTTATTCTTTATATCATCGCTATTAAATACAAACTCCATATATTATATTATAATTACTTACATTTTTTAAATGAATTTAATCAGGTACCAATTGTATAATTAAACTATAATAGATTAATACGTGTGTAATATGATCAGGGGGAGCTTAATGCCTCGCTAATCACCCTGCAAGATCCATCACGGCTCCCTCGTAATTTTAAGTAGTTTATAAGTAGAAGAAAAATAAGTGG